TTTTTTTTATTCTGGGCCAGCTTTACCTTGAGGCTTGGCTCCAGCTCTTAGGCCTTCTGTGGCTAAAAGTAGGTTTCTGGCCTTTGCTTACAATGTTGCGAATCTGCTGGCTGATGTCCGGCGGTATTTGTTACAATGTTTCTTAAACTGCCTGCTCAGTGGCCTGCAGGCGCAGGTGGGGAACGTTGGTTTCCTCCAACGATCCTCTATCACTGAGCCAAGGAAGCCTCATGTTAATTTCAAGCTGCCTGGCTGCCGGCCTCCATCTTGGCTGACAGTTAATTTGCATATCTTGCTGATTAGCCAGTGAAAAGGGTAGCGGTCGTACGCCAATTACCATGTTTCTCTTTTATTAGTGTAGATGTTTTTTTTATTGATGATACATTTTTATAAAAGTACCTACCAGATAACAGGTGCTGAATAAATGTTGGCTCCTCTTTCTTCCCATTTCCATCATGAATACAGAAACTAAATATTTGCCCTTAACCAATAAATAGAAGGGTAAAACTTATTTGCTTCCCTCTAGTCCTTTCATTCAGGCAATGCAGATTTTGAGATTTTCAAGATGTAATTACAGTGCTGTGGTTCCATTTTCTCTGGTCAGTGAATCTAAACTACTTAGACTATATAACCAAGTAGGTAAAGGCAAAATGGAGCTGACTCTGATGACTTATTTAAAAAATACTGTGTGCTACAAATGATTCTGTACATTCTTACAAAATCTAAAATATTTTACTGTCCAGAAAAACTGTTATTACACCTGGTGTTTTCTGAAATGATGCACATTTATGACTTTCAAACTTTTTAAAAGCTTCTGTGGAACTCTGTTTAAATGTTGTTGAAAGAAAAAGATGAAACCAGATTCTGCTCTATTTGCTGCAGGCTTGGGGAATACCTCAGTTCCACCCCACTGCCGCACTCCCAGCAAAGTGTGTTCCAGGGAGCATAATTTGAAATGGCTGATCTAGGCAACATGGTATTTAAAGTTACATTTTCAGTTTCATGGTGAAATTGTCTACACTGGGAGATACATCAGAGCTACATTTCATTTTTATACTATGTTTAAGAACTAGGATTCTCTGCCTGGCTGGTTTGGCTCAATGGATAGAGCATTGATCTGCAGACTGAAGGGTTCTGGGTTTGATTCTGATCAAGAACACATGCCCGGGTTTGTGAGCTTGATCTCCAGTAGGGAGTGTCGCAGAAGGCAGCCAATCAATGATTCTCTCTCATCACTGATGTTTCTAGCTCTCCCTTCCCCTTCCGTTCTGAAATTAATAAAGTATATAAATATATGTATATGTATGTGTATGTGTGTGTATGTGTGTGTGTGTGTGTGTGTGTGTGTGTGTGTGTGTGTGTATATATATATATATATATATATATATATATATATATATATATATAATAAAAGCCTAAAGGCAGGCGGACATCCCCTGAGGGCCCCGACTGGGAGAGTGCACAGGCCCGGCTGAGGGTCCCCCTACCCCATGCACGAATTTCATGCATCAGTCCTCTAGTATAAATAAAGAACTAGGATTCTCTCATCTTGTTTAATCTTTATAACAATAGGCACATGTATTAAGGTCCTAGGGACTTTAAGAAAAGGGGATAAACCTTGCACACAAAAGATACTACTTTCTTCATCTCAAAGCTAACCACTAGGAGTCCAATCATTATTTTCTTAAAGGTAGAATATTTTGAATGACCATATTTGTGCATATGAACTTTTCACTGACTTCAGTCTAGTTCATTGGTTGCTGGGCTTTAGTGTATGTAATGCTCATGGAGTTTTATATACAAACCCACATGCATTGTTATTGCAGGCAATGCAAATGATTTTCAAGGATAATTTTGACTGAAGTGCTAAATATTGTCTTATGTGTTAAATTAAAGCTTAATATCCAGAATAAGTTGCAACTTACCATATATACTTCCTCTCAAAAAATGCATACAATGAAAATTTGAATGAGTAGTCTGCATTTGATTAACTTTATACAATAAGGTTTTTAAAGCTTCCCTTTTTTCATTTTAAGATTTTCTAAAGTACAGTAATCTTTTAAAATGCTCATATTTACTAATACAGAACCTTTATTCTTTCAAGGACTTGAACTGTTTACTGCCATTTATTTACAATTGGAGGGTGGTAAAAAATGCATTTAATACTAGATAGTATTTTAAGATCTGCCCTTCAGTAGGGAGACATGTCAAATATATACACAAAACTAGAAAACATAACTAATATAGTAAAGAAGTATTATAGAGCAAAACAGGGGGGAAATTGCCAATACAGATTAGGTACAGTAAACTAAATCATATTAGAATTTTTCACAGTAACATCTTTTTTATTCTTGATAGGCAGTTAAACAATGAAGTGTTCATTGCCCTGATACAATGGTAATGATTTTTTTCTCAAAATTTGGTACTCTTTGTCTCTATCTGGGGAGGACTCTACAAACCAAAAAGTAAGTTTGAAATAGTCTTTAAAAGACTTCTACAAACAGCCAAAAGGAATACCCATAAGTCTTTATACTAAAATACTTATTACTTATTTGTTATTTATTAACATTTTTAAAATATCCCCATCCCCAGTTTTACTGAGATACAATTGGCATATAGCATTGTTCATTATTTTATGGTGTACAACATGATTTGATCTCTATAATAATAAAAGCATAATATGCTAAATAGACCTGATATCCTTCCTGATGTCCTTCCTTCCGGACAAAGCCACAGCAGATGGGGGCTGAGGCAGAGGCAGCAGAGGCCCCTGGCTGTGGTGGTGACAGGTGTGGGCCAAGGCAGAGGTGGCCACTGTGGCGGTGGGGCCAAGGCCCTTTCACGAATTTCGTGCACTGGGCCTCTGGTATATAATAAAAGCCTAATATGCTAAGTGTCCGACCATTCAACCGTTCAATCAGTCACTGTGATGCACACTGACCACCAGGGGGCAAGGTGCTCCGACTGGTAGGTTAGCTTGCTGCTGGGACCCAGCTGATTGGGACTGGGCAAGATGGGCTGGACACGCCTTGGAGCCCTCCTGTGCCCCCTCCCTGGCCCCAATCGTGCACCAGTGGGGTCCCTTGGCCTGGCCTGCACTCTCTCTCAATCCAGTACTCATCAAGGATTGTCGGAGAGTCAGTTTTGGCTCGATCCCCGCAGGCCAGGCCAAGGGACCCCACCAGTGTACGAATCCATGCGCCAGGCCTCTAGTATGTATATACTGCAAAATGATTACCACAGTAAATTTAGTTAACATCCTTCACTTCATATAGTTAGTGTTTTTTTTTTCCTTGTGATGAGAACTTTTAAGATGTACTCTCTTAGGAACTTTGAAATACGTAAACAGTATTGTTAACTGGTCACCATGCTGTACATTCTATCCCTGGGACTTACTTATCTTATAACTGGAATTTGTACCATTTCCTCCCTTCTCCCCCACCTCTGGCTTCTACCAGTCTGTTCTCTGTTTCTGTAAGTTCAGCTTTTTTAGATTCCACAAAAATGTGAGATCATATACAGTATTTGTCTTTTTCTGTCTAACTTGTTTCACTTAGCATAATATTCTCAGGTCCATCCCATGTTGTCACAAATGGCAAGATTTCCTTTTTATGACTCAGTAATATTTCATTTTACATAATTAACAGAAGTGGAATTACTGGATCAAATGGTAGTTGTATGTTTAATTTTTTGAGGAACCTCCATTCCTTTTCCATAGTGGCTGTATCAATTAACATTCCCACTAACAGTGTACCAGGGGTTCCTTATCTCCACATTCATGTCAACACTTGTTATTTCTTGTTTTTTAGTGATGACGTGAGGTGTGATATCTCTTGGTGGTTTTGATTTGCATTTCCCTGATGATTAGTGATGTTGAGTCATACTAATCTCTTTACTTCTATTATCTAATTTTTCCTTAAGGTAATACTGGAAAGTTGTTTTATTATTTCCTTTTTACATATGAGGAAATTATAACTTATGAGGAAATTAACAAAACAAATTATATGGCTAATGAATGGTGGAATCAGGATTTTGAAGCTATATCTGCATATTTCTATAAGTACCTGCTTTTATCCATTGCAGCATGAATTACCCATACAAATTAAATTATTTTGAGCTTAACAGCAACCAACCTCTACTTTGTCAGGTACTATTATTCTCATTTGAGGCCCAGATTTTGAGTACCTTAGATAAGATCTAAGTAGCAATACCAGGATTTTGTTGTTCTTGATCTTATTTTTTTTCTTGCTTAGAAAATGTATTAATGAGAAACGTTTCTAATACTAGATAAATTAGGTTTTACCAAAATAGTTTTAGGTTTATTTAACTTTCTTTAATTATTGTTTAGAGCATAGATTCTGGCAGCCAAGCTTTTCTCATAGAGTTCTCAGAAAGTTAAATAAATTTTGAGCTATGACATGTTCTGAGATGCTCTGTTGAAACATAATAATAATAAAGCTAACTATTATGGAACACCTGTTACACAGCAGGTACCATTTTAGCACTTTGTTGTCATTAACTAATCCTTACAATTACCCTACTAGGAATATGTTTTTCCTATGTTTTACAATGAAGAAACAGAAGCACAGTGAGTTAACAAATTGACCAAGGTTAACCCATTCTAAGTGGCAATGGGATTAACATCCAGCAGTCTAGTAGCTCTGGAGTCCAAATACCTGTCTTTTACGCTCTATATACTGACTTTTCCCAAAATAATTTGAAGCTTGTGTTTTCAAACTTACCATATAGTCTATATTGCTTTATTTTTTAAATGGGTTGAAAATAATGACTGATACTACGAAGGACTGAAGAAAAATACATGCAGCATTGAATCAATTATTTATTTTGGTGGTTACTGGAATTAAGCGACAGGCTGTAATTTCATATTTATCCACAAGATGGTGAAATTTTCATTAGTTTTTAATTTCTTGAAACCCATATAAATTGTTAATTTATAATTTGACACCATTTATTATAAGCACTTTAATTTCTTTTTGCAGCCCATCTGCTGGCAAGGCCAAGATTAGAACAGCTCACAGGAGAATCATGATTTTGAATCACCCAGATAAAGGTAAGTAAAATTCTTACTTTTCATAATATGAGGGTCAGAATCTGCCCTGAATTCCTTTCAGTTTACTTGAACTCATTATAAATGATTTATAGTTTAAATGGAAGTTAATATGCCAATGTATTTTGATGTTTCTTATAATAAACTAGAGGCCGGTGCATGGAGGTCCCTCGGCCTGGCCTGTACCTTCTCAAAATCCAGGACCCGTCGAGAGCTGGTTTCAGCTCAATCCCCACAGGCCAACACCCAACCAGTGCACGAATACGTGCATTGGTCCTCTAGTATGCATATAAGGTCTTTGGTTAATCTCTTCCCACCCTCCCCCCTTTCCTCTTCCCTCTGAGATTCATCAGTCTGTTCCATGTTTCCATGCCTGTAGTTTCAGCTCCTGTGTTGAGTGTCTCCCTCTAGTGGTGAGTGCGCATCATAGCAGTCAGCTGGTCCCTTAGGCTTTTATATATATACTAGGGGCCCGGTGCACAAAAATTTGTGCACTCGGGGGGGCGGAGGGGGTCCCCTCAGGCCGGCCTGTGCTCTCTCGCAGTCTGGGACCCCTCGGGAGATAATGAACTGCTGGCTTAGGCCTGCTCCCAGGTGGCAGAGGGCAGGCCCAATCCCTAGGTGCAGCCCCTGGTCAGGTTCAGAGCAGGGCTGATAGGGGAGTTGGGGTGCCACACCCTGTCATACACAGAGCAGGGTGGATTGGGAGGTTGCGATGCCACCCTCAGTCACGCTCAAGGTAGGGCCATTGGGGGGTAGGGGCAACGTCCCCTTTCACACTCAAGGCAGAGTCGATGGGGAGGTTGCAGCGCCACCCCCTGTCACGCACAGAGCAGGACCAATCAGGGGGTTGGGGCTCCGTACACTGTCACGCACAGAGCAGGGCCAATCGGGGTTGGGGCGCTGCCCCCTGTCACGCACAGAGAAGGGCCCATCAGGGGGTTGAGGAGCTCCCCCCTGTCACTCATAGAGTAGGGCCGATAGGGGAGTTGGGGCACCGCCCCCTGTCACACACAGAGCAGGGCGGATCAGGGGGTTGGGGCACCGCCCTCTATCACCCACAGAGCAGGGCCGATCAGAGGGTTGGGGTGCCGCCACTGTCACACTCAGGGCAGGGCTGATGGGGAGGTTATGGCTCTACCCCATCACACACAGAGCAGGGCCCGTGGGGTGGGGGTTGGGGCGCTGCCACTCTCACACTCAGGGCAGGACCGATGGGGAGGTTATGGCTCTACCCCATCACACACAGAGCAGGGCCGATCAGGGGGTTGGGGCGCTGCCCCCTGTCACACACAGAGCAGGGCCGATCGGGGGTGGGGCGCCACACCCTGTCACACAAGAGCCGCAGGGCGATCATGGGGTTGGGGAGCTCCCCCTATCAGGCACAGAGCAGGGCTGATCAGGGGGTTGGGGCACCTTCCCCTGTCACAAACAGAGCAGGGCGGATAGGGAGGTTGTGGCCCTGGCCCCTGTCACACACAGAGCTGCAGGGCGATCAGGGGGTTTAGGCGCTGCCCCCTGTCACACTGATCCCAGTGCCGGGAGGCCTCTCGACTCCGCTGATCCCAGTGCTGGGAGGCATATTACCCTTTTACTATATAGGATAGAGGCCTGGTGCACTGGTGGGGGCTGGCTGGTTTGCCCCGAAGGGTGTCCTGGATCAGGGTGGGTGTCCCCACTAGGGTGCCTGGCCAGCCTGGGTGAGGGGATGATGGCTGTTTGCAGCTGGTCACACACCCTTCAGGGTGGGGGTCCCCACCGGGGTGCCTGGCCAGTCTGGGTGAGGGGCTGAGGGCTGTTTTCAGGCTGGTGGGTGACTGAAGCTCCTAACCACTCCTTTTTTTCTTTTTTTTTATTCTGGGCCAGCTTTAGCTTTGAGGCTTGGCTCCAGCTTTAGGCTTCCACTGCTGAACGCAGGTTTCTAGCCTTTGATTACCTTCTGTATTTCAAACAATGTTGTGATTCTGCTGGCTGAAGCCCGACGGACTAAAGCAGGTTTCAGGGGTTTTGTTTAGCTTCTATATTTGTAACATAGTTGCTTAGAGTTGCAGCTCAGAGGCCAGCAGCGGCAGGCAGGGAACGTTGGAGTCCTCCGTCAACTGAAGCAAGCAAGCCTCATGTTCGCTTTAAGCTGCCTGGCTGCCGGCCGCCATCTTGGCTGGCAGTTAATTTGCATATCACCCTGATTAGCCAATGGGAAGGGTAGGGGTCGTACGCTAATTAACATGTTTCTTTTTTATTAGATAGGACTAGAGGCCTGTTGCAGGAAGATTCCTGCAAGAATAGGGCTTCCCGTGGCTGGAGGGAAGCATAGAGGGGAGCGAAACCTGCTGAGGTGGGTTTCGCTCCCACTCCGAGCCGCTGCGGCTGGGTTTCCCCTCCCGCTCCCAGCTGCTCCTGCTGGGTTTCCCCTCACTCTCCCAGGTGCTCCTGCTGCATTTCCCCTCCCGCTCCCAGCTGCTCCTGCTGGGTTTCCCCTCACTCTCCCAGGTGCTCCTGCTGCATTTCCCCTCCCGCTCCCAGCTGCTCCTGCTGGGTTTCCCCGCACTCTCCCAGGTGCTCCTGCTGCATTTCCCCTCCCGCTCCCAGCTGCTCCTGCTGGGTTTCCCCTCCTGCTCCCAGCCACTCCTGCTGGGTTTCTCCCCTTGTTCCCAGCCACTCCTGCTGCATTTCCCCTCCCACTCTCAAGCGCTGTGGCGGTTTTTCCCCTCCTGCCCCCAGGCACTGTGGCGGGTTTCCCCTCCCACCCCCAGGTGCTGTGGCGGGTTTCTCCTCCCACTCCCAGGCGCTGTGGCGGGTTTCCCCTCCCGCCCCCAGGTGCTGTGGCGGGTTTCCCCTCCCACTCCCAGGCGCTGTGGCGGGTTTCCCCTCCCGCTCCCAAGTGCTGCCCCTTCCCCTCCAACCGCTGCCCCTCTGGCTGGCAGCCACTGTGGCTGGGCTTGCCCTCCCACCTCTCGCCTCCCACCTCAACAGCCTTGGCTCCGATTCTGTCCTCGAGGCCTCTACTTAGCTCCTTTCTGTACCTCTTGGCCTCCATGTTGTCCTCAGTCTTCCCTTGCAACTGGTATATGCAAATTAACCGCCGTCTTTTAGCTTCTATAATTGAAACATTGTATCTTTTGGAGCTGTTTCTTCAGGAGCTCAGAGACGGGCGGCAGCAGGCGGGGAACCTTGGCTTCCTCCGTCACTGGAGCAAGCAAGCCTCATGTTCGCTTCAGCTTCCTGGCTGCCAGCCGCCATCTTGGCTGGCAGTTAAATTGCATATCTCGCTGATTAGCCAATGGGAAGGGTAGCGAAGTTACGGCTAAATACCATGTTTCTCTATTATTAGATAGGAGTAGAGGCCCGGTGCACAAAAATTTGTGCACTCGGCGGGGAGAGGGGGTTCCTCAGCCCGGCCTGTGCCCTCTCTGTCTGGGACCCCTCAGGGGATGACCACCTGCTGGCTTAGGCCCGCTCCCCGGGGTATTGGGCCTAAGATGGCAATCAGACATCCCTCTGGCAGCCCGGCAGTCCTCAGGGGATGTCCACTTGCCAGCGAGGAGCAGGCCTAAACTGCAGTCGGACATCCTTAGCGCTGCTGAGGAGGCAGGAGAGGCTCCCACCACCACTGCTGTAATGGCAGCCATCAGCCTGGCTTGTGGCTGAGCAGAGCTCCTCCCATGTGAGAGTTCCCTGACCACCAGAGGGCAGCTCCTGCATTGAGCGTCTGCCCCCTGGTGGTCAGTGTGTGTCATAGTGACCAGTCATTCTCAGTCCTTCTGCTGTTAGGGTCAGTTTGCATATTACCCTTTTAATATATAGGATAGAGGCCTGGTGCACGGGTAGGGGCCGGCTGGTTTGCCCTGAAGGGTGTTCCAGATCAGGTTGGGGATCCCGCTTGGGTGCCTGGCCAGCCTGGTTGAGGGGATGATGGCTGTTTGCAGCTGGTTGCACCCCCTTCAGGGTGCGGGTCCCCACTAGGGTGCCTAGCCAGTCTGGGTGAGGGCCTGAGGGCCGTTTTCAAGCTGGTGGGTGACTGAAACTCCCAACCTCTCCTTTTTTTCTTTTCCTTTTTTTTTTATTCCGGGATTTATTTACCTTCTATGGCTGTCACTGGAACTGAGAGCCGGCTTTAGCTCTGAGGCTCGGCTCCAGCTCTGAGGCCCGGCTGCCTGAAAACAGGTTTCTGGGGTTTGTTTAGCTTCTATAATTGCAACATTCTTGCTTATAGTGCAGCTCAGAGACCTGCAGCGGCAGGCGGGGAACCTTGGCTTCCTCCATCACTGGAGCAAGCAAGCCTCCTGTTCGCTTCACCTGCCTGGCTTCCGGCAGCCATTTTGGTTGGAGGTTAATTTGCATATCACCCTGATTAGCCAATGGGAAGTGTGTCGGAGGTACGGTTAATTACCGTGTTTGTCTATTATTAGATAGGATAGAGGTCTGGTGCACAGAAATTTGTGCACTCGGGGGGCCCCTCAGCCCAGCCTATGCCCTTTTGCAGTGTGGGACCCCTCGGAGGATGTCTACCCCAGTGGGGACCCTCACTCCATGGAGGTTTGGCCAGCCTGGGTGAGGGACTGATTGTTGTTTTCAGGCTGGCCACACCCCCTTTAGGGTGGGGGGTCCCCACTGGGGTGCCTGGCCAGTCTGGGTGAGGGGCTGAGGGCCGTTTTCAGGCTAGACAAGCACCCTGGCAACGTAAGCTCCCAGCCTCTCCTTTTTTTTTTTTTTTTTTTTTTTTTTTTTTTATCTGGAATTTATTTACCTTCTATAATTGAGACTTTGTTGCTTTCAGTGGAGCTCAGAGCCAGGCTGCAGCAGGCAGGGAAGCTTAGGTTCCTTCATCACTGGAGCAAGCAAGCCTCCTGCTCACTACAGCTCCGTGGCTGCCGGCCGCCATCTTCGTTGGGTTAATTTGCATATAGTCACTCCAGTTGCCTGGTGGGCATGGCTTCGGTGTAGCGAAAGTACAGTCAATTTGCATGTTTGTCTTTTATTAGTATAGGACTAGAGGCCTGGCG